CGACGTCGCCGAGGCGATGCGACGTCGGCCAATAAAAAAATAAAAAAAATAAATATAATATATATATATACATATATCGCTCGGTATACCGAGCGGTATACCGTTCCGTACCGTACCGAGAGATCGTCGAAACTCCGGTATGGTACGAAATTTCAAACCTTGCTCATAAGTTAGATCAACATTCGAGCATTGCATGAGTCAGTGATTATTTACACATTCATGTTCATGTAATAATGAATGCGTTCATGTGGGATGTAATGGTCATTCGTTCATTTTAAATCAGTTTCTATCTGGGCAAATTCTAGAATTTACATTGCCACCAGAGAATGCAATTTGATACAAAAAGAAACTAGCTACGTTTGCTTCATCTACAAAAAGTATAGAGAAAAAATATGACCAGACTTCTAAAAGAACTCACAAAAATCAGTTCTTCATTCTCATCATTGTCGTCCTCCGCTTCATCCAGACCACCCTCAGATGTAAGCACATTCTTATTGATCTCCATCTCTTCCTCCGCAGCAAGGGATGCGGCCAATCTTGATGAGAGAGAACAATGTATCAGACATTAGTAACATAGCAAAAGGATTGTTTTGGGTCGTGACGGAGAAAGGAAAAGAGCGAAAACTATGGACATGACGTTGCTCACAGCTCATCTAGGTTTTGCTGGGAAGAAACCCCAGATTCCATATCACCACGAAGTAGAACGCTGCTTCCTTCAGCCCCAATTTCGTCATTCGAATCCAACACCTTTTTCCCCTTTGTGTCCTCGTCCGAAATCTGCTTCTCCTTCGATCCTTCCTTCTGCTTCTTGATCTCGGCTGCCAATTCCTCAAGCCTCTTCGCCTTGAGCTATATAAGTCGATGCATACAATCAGACAACTGAAAAGAGGAGAGGGAGAAAGAAAGGGAGAGAGACAAACGTGGTTGAGGAGGAGCTTCTCGGCGGTCTTGCGGATCTTGGCACGGGCGCTATCGCGGTGGCGGCGGCGGGCGGCGACCGTGCGGCGCTTGAGGGCGGGGGTGGCGCCGTCGAAGACGAAGACGGGTTTGGTGCGAAGGAAGAGGAGCTTGCAGATGCGGCGGAAGAAGCCGAGGAGGTGGGCGTTGCGCACCATCTCCCCCTTGTCGTCCCGCATCGCCTTCATGAATTGGACCATCCATATGCTCGCGTCTGAGAAGAGGAGACAGACGAGCAAAAGGGGAATTCCAATGAGGAAGGCGGTAGTTATGCAGGGAGGGGAAATCGTGGAGAACTAGGGTACCGATGGCGAGCTTTTTGCCGGCAAGGGTTTCGACGGAGACGCGGCGGCCGACGGGGGCGAGAAGCTCCCATAGCCCTTGCACTCCCATGAGGAGGTTCGATCCACGTTTCTTCCTCTCCTTCGGCTGCTTCGATGTCGGTCGTTGCTGATGTTTATTTATAATCTTCACATGGAAGTTTCTTTCACAAAATGCCACGTAGTTTATTTATTTACTTATTTATTTATCTACTTATTTATTTATTTAAGTAGGAACAACATATTATTTTCTAAATCATCTAAAATATGCTTTTAGACCTTATATTAAAGCATCTATTGATTTTAAATTTTTTAATTAACGAATTTCTTTTATTTTTATGAGAAAAAATAAGATTAATTATTTAACTTTCATAGATGTCAATATAAATTTTTTTAATCTAAAAATCAGATGATTAATTACATGAAATAATTTATGATTAATCCAATAAATTATTTTGATGACATGATCGAATAAAAAATATTTACTAAATCTTATATTTTTTTTTAAATTTAAAAATTTATAAAATTTGACACTTTAAGATTTTAAAAGTCAACATAGTTTCGATTTCAGCAATCAATCAAACTATTATAGTACCAATATATTGGATGACACACTGGTCTATACCATCTAGTATCACTGAAAATATAATGAAAATTAAATATATACTGATTGGTATTAATTTATATAGTTCGATGTCAGATCGATACTGCAACTTATTTTAAGTGCTATATTTTGTAACTTGAATTCATGGACTTTGATCTAATTTATAACTTCAACACAAATCAATGTAATTTGTGGAAATCATATTTTTGTTGATGTAGGATACAACCATGAGCTACATGCAATAACACCACCTCAATATGCTGCTCCACCACCCAGGAGCAATGGCTTTTTGGAAGGATGCTTAGAGTGTTCATGACTTATATTTCTTATGCTCTTAAAGTTTTGTTCTAATAATACTCTGTTCCCAACAAAACTTCTTAATCACTCCTTCCTTCTCTTTCTATGTTTGTGAGAGCAAAAGAAAAAATTGGAGTCTTTCTCTGTTTTTTGTGTGATTAAGGTATACAGCAGCAGAGGAATTTGATGAACAAAGAGCTTCTTAGCATTCTTTGCAAGTTTACATCACTATGAATATTATCTAAACACCAATTGCTGTTATTTTTCACATGCTCAGAATAATGGACTCCTTGATGTTTATGTTATGCTATATGGTGTTCCTATGTTTGCAAAATATTACCAGATGACTTCAGAGATTTGGGGAAAAAAATAAATATTATTTGCTGGTTATTTGTCAGGCTATAGCTAGAAAAAAAAATATTTTTTCCATCACTAATCTTGCCATCACCAAAATTGATCTGACCAACAAAAGTTTTTATTGCCAAAACTCTTCAGCAAGAATTTGTTAAACCTTTCAGTGAAAATTATTATTCTCAATCAAAAAATTTAATATAGCATGGAGGTAATTAAATTCTCATACTTGTCTAACAGGAAAAAAAATACAGATTCACTTAAGGAGTATACTTTGGAAGAAAAACTCAATCCTCTCAAGAAATTAAAAGTCAAAAAATTTCTCTCTTTTTTTCTTTTTGTTATTAGGGAGGAGTGGGAAAATACACGGTCTTAAAAAGGACAATCATTTCCCAGAATAGGTTCTTAAACAAGGAAAATTAAATTGAAAGAAGATAAGATTAATCAATAGATCATCAGCATGAAAAAAGATGAGATCACAAAATGAATCAGCTACATTTATTTCATTTGTGAAATGCAGATCACTTGCTATTGTTTTGTGCTACTTTATCCTCTCACTAGATTGTTGTCCTAAACAGTAAAATTATTAAAACAGGGAGTAACCATGTCGGGTATCAAAACAAATGATAAGAACAAATAACGCTCCTGAGAAGATCGGAACAAATTAAGATATGAGCCTAAAGACTCCCAATCTTCCTTCGTGTTAATCTTGGACTAGTACAAGCACATAAATCAGAAAAACTTTGGCTTATTATCTGCCACAAGCTTATCAAGAAGAAATACAATCCTAATTCTTTTAGCAAAGGTTGTAGCATTCAAATTCTTCTAGAGGCAAAAGAGGAGATTGGATTAACTCCTCTTCCTCCTATGGGGCATGAATTGTAACATGATCTAGCAAAGGAGTCATGAGGCCCTGCTTTCCTTTAGGATCCCAATCCAACATGATCTTTACTTTGATATCGAGGACACCCTGAGATTTTTAAAAGCAAAAAGTTAATTAAAATGAATCATTAAGCACTCAAATATATATTTCTCCAAATATATTTGTATTTTTATTACTGTTTAGAAAGTAAATAAATTCATCCATCTAAATTTCAGTACAAACAAGGTTAGTGCATTACAAAATTCGAAGCATTTTGGTACAGCCTATCAGACAAGCATTTCTAGATACTTGTCAATAGACAAGTATCTATATAAGCACCGCAAGGGAACCAAACTCAAAAAAGTGAATATGAGATTAATACATATGCCATTACGAGGTCTGACGACTTTATCATACCATGATTGCAGAACCCGACTATTCCTCTTATGTGCAGCTATGCATAGTAATTGCCCGCGTTGGACATAGTGCTATGTTAGACAGTGGATGGATTTACTAATGCTTCTTGCAGCAAAATCCAAAACAAAGACAAATTTCACAACATACAGCATATTCTTCTCCCTGACAAGTGCATCACTCCACATACATAATTAGTTGTAGAACTAAGGATGCCAAGCTTTATTCATGAATTTTAAAAATGTTAAATTTTAAAATATGTCCATAAGAATTTAAAAAATATATACTAAAAACATTTTTACCAGAAGGAAAGTATCCCACTCCGATGGTTACACTTTCAGTGAATAAGACAGTTTTTTCCGGTTCAAATTTGCCAGAAAACAAACATCCGTGATACCATGAGAAGTTCTTTATAAGAAAAGAAAAGATGTAATCCAATGTGCTTAATGATATGATAGGACTGAGGAGAACATGCCTCACGACAGAACCTATGTATTCGTCGATAGGGTTTCCATTGATTTGACATGTTCTCCTACGGACAGATCAACCTATTTGGTACTTTTAAGATTTTTAAAAGTCAACATAGTTCGGATTTCAGCAATCAATCGAACCAATACGACACCAATATATTGGATAGTACACTGGCCTATGCCATCTAGTATCACAAAAAATGTAATGAAAATTAAATATATACTGATTGATACTAACTTATATAGTTCGATACTAACCCGTGGTTGGACTAGTACATACTAATTGGTATATGTTGGTTCAATCAATATTTGAAACCTTGGGATGAATAGCTTGAAGGAAGCTAGAACAATAACTTCATTTAATGTTTAATACAAAACTGAATAAAGTGATAAAAGAAACTCACCTTACAACCTTTAGCACCACTTTCCATGACAAAGCACATGACACCTTGACAAGCCCTAATTAATAAAAAAATATGTAATATGAGAAATTATCAAAGAAAACAATGGATGCTTTCACAATCCTCACTATAAAAATCATGATAGGTATAAGCTATATAGGAACCACATTAGTACAATGTGATGGAATCCACTTATGTTGCAAGAAATGAATAATTATTGGCAACAAGTCACCTAATAAATATATCAAATACCTAGAGAACAGACTATTAAACAGTCACAGGATTAGGGTCTTAAGTCATGATGTCAGTATGAGCAGCATGCAGAACCCTATTAATAATTCAAATACATATGTTTAACCTTGCTACAGAAGTGAATAAGATAAGCTAATGAAGACTTTAATACTATACGTGGGTATGAAGTCATGCAATCCACTATATTTTCCAAGAACATAACATCATATTAAAGCACAAGAGTATAGCCCAAGCACCTTTAACACATAGTACAACACAATTAAAAGAGGTGTACAATTGTATGTGAGATGGTATCAATGAACAAACTGAAACTGCAGTTAGTCATTTGTGGATCCATCTGTGGTTGTCTGACCACTGTCGACTGAATGGCTTTCATTTTATGCATTGTTGCTAAAGACCTCACAATTAGAATACAACAAATGTAGAATAAGAACGGAAAGCTTACTTAATGTAAGGAATCACTTTACAACCAATTGCATGAAGATCATCTAGTCTCAGAAACCCATATTTAAACCAAGGCTATGCAAGGAAGAACCAGAATACTCTCGTAGTTGTCAAACTGATTCCAGTGAAAATCTGCATAATTGTGGCACACTCACTTGTAAGTTCTTTCAAGCATCTCAGACAAACAATTCCAATGAAAAGCCTCAACTTTTTCAAGCAAGATAGTCAAAATCTAAATTAAACTGACACAAACAAAATGTCTAACGATGAGCTCACCGTGAGAAGCTTGTACCGGAAAGACAGCCTGAGCAATCGCACAAAGCTCTCTATTGTTGACCTTCTCGACGTAGAGTTCCACACCATTTTCCAGAAAGTTGAATCTTTACTAGACCGCAGAAGTCAACTCCAGTATCCTTCTCCCCTTCTCAACATATACAATTATGATACAGAGTCCAAATCGAGTGTATCACTGAGGCTTAACATAAATTGGAGATCGGTACCAAGTACGTTCAGGGTCTTGGTGGCTCTAATAATGATCACCGATGCTGACCTCAACACCGAAGTACCCATCCACAACTTAGTGGCTCTTGTGAAGACCTCACTAAGCTCCGCAAAGAACACACAATCGGCAACAAATTAGAACATAGGAAAATAAAATCCACAAAGCGTTACAATAAGAAACAATCTAGGAAGATACTTAAGGTTAGGGTTCGTGAAACTTTGTGGGAGTGAAGATTCGAGTTCGTGTCGATGGCCATCATAATGGTCGATCATCGGATGATGGCATTAAAATAAGACACATCGAACTTTGACATATTAAATAAAAGATATTATTTAAAAATAAAAATATTATCATATAAATGGATCTTAGATTATTATTTTATAATGTTTAAATCAATTTTAACTAGTTATTTTAAAAATGTATAATTTTAATTATATATTAATAATCCTAATCTTTTTGTAATGTATAAAATTAAAATAATGAATGATTTAAGGGTTTCCACTAAAAACAAAAACCAAATAAAAAGGAATTAAATTTCTGTCAATTAACCATTTAATGATACTTTTATCATTTATGAAAAATTAACTGAACTGCAAAAAAAAAAATTTAGATGCTCAATACAAAAATATATAACATTGAGGATTATTCTAGGGAAATCTTACAATAAAATAAACATCTTTTGAGAAAAGGGCCTCACAAATTTGATTAATTTGACTTCGTAAAAAATATTTTTAAAAAACTAAAAAAAATTATTTGAATATGATAAGGCATTTGATTTTAACCTTTAAAAACTATTTTTCTCATCTTTTTTAATAATATATATAATCCCTTAATAATTTCATTCTATATTATGATTAAAATTTATATAAAAATTAATTCGACTTAAATAAAACCAACTAAATCCATGATAATTAATAATTAAGTCAACTTCGATTCACATTTGTGTTAAAAACACATTAATCAACAATCTCTTCTCTTCTCTGTCTTCAAAGAATTCAGAGAAAGTATTAAATAGGAAGAACAAAGAGTCATCTCCTTCCTCATGTGACACAAGAGATGTAGAAATAAAACAAAATAAGAAAAAAAAAAGATATTTTAAGTTTTTCCCTCTCCTCAAGCATTTGAACTTAGCCAAGCCATATTATTCTTATTGCAGGGCTGATTAAGAAACCAAAAAAAGGAGTTTGGATTCAAACAAAAAAAAGAAGGTAAGAACACAGTTTGACTAAAATTGTTCTTGATGATTTAAACATGTGTATGAGACAAATTCCTACTGCAGTCAGCCATGCAGTAGCCACAAAACCAAAATACTTTAAGTTGCAGCAAAAATAAAGAGGCATTGGCGGAGGATATAAATGAAGACAAAACCAAGAATCAAATTCAAATGACTTATGACCTCATCAAATATTTGGCCGTAACAATCATTTTGCTGCAGTCATCATAATATTTTCATTGCAAAATTTTCTACTATCTACTATTTATCCCAGTTACCAACAGAAATGATCAATGTTAGCTGTTCTTCCCAGATCAGGTATGCATGTCATTTCAAGCTTGAGTTGAACAGAAATCATGCCACGATCTAAGAACTAACATTAACAGAAATCTCCATGCATGTTACACACACAATAATCCACCTCATTCAGAGAGTATGCCATGAATTCAAACTTGAGTTCAATAGAGTGTTGATGAAATTACAAATTTGAGAACCCAAGATTCGTTCATGTAGTTGATATGGAAGAAAAGGAAGGCAAAAGACTTGAGTTGCAAATAGGAAAACAGAATTGCAAGCTACATTATTTGGAGGTAGCAAATGAGAAACTAATGGAAAAAGGAAAAAGAAAATCTTGTTTGTTGGAATCAAAATGATCATTTTCTTCTAAAAAAGAATGTCTTGCCTAATTAACTCCATAACGCAAAGTTCCTTTTGATCAATCGAGTCTATTAGAGAAAACTATCAAAGTTCTGAGACCAATGTGATCAAAACCAATACTATGCTTGACACAGATTTTTAAGAGACCATAAGCAAATAAATGTCAGACAGCATACTGAAAGATGAAAGACTCCAGCAATGTTTGCATGCCTTTCACAAAATACATTCTATACAAATTTGGATGTAGAAAGAAGCCCAAAAGTCATAGCAGAAGATCGGATAAAATATATAGGATTTTTCTACCATGCTTGTTAGACTAAATAATCATACTATAGGAAGACAACTATAAAAGCCTCCTGTTCAAAGATCAGCTAAGTTTCAAGGTTATATACACTCATTACTATTAAATTTCCTATAAAATTTTATCACAGATCGTACTAGGTTTTAAGGGGAAGAAACTGAACAAAGATAAAAGATCTCTAGCATGTAGTATTGAAGAGAAAAATGAACAAAACCTAACAGATAATTTACAATCTTACTGTGAATCAATGAAGCTTCACTAAATATATGGGCTGCAGGTAATGCTCATTGAACATGCCCACACTGCTTTCCTGACAAAAAAACTTGACATCCGCATACATCTTAACTCGAATGAAACACTAATGAAATGATATGATACTGCATTAGATTTCAGATAGTGTCAGTTGTTAAGACACAAAGGAGATGAAATCCATAACTAACACATCCAATGGATGATTCAAGTTCAAGATAGAAGCTAACAGCTTACATGGTACTACATAGAGCAAGATGTGACAAAGTAGCATAAGCAGCAACAACAGTTGCCTCGAGTAGCTGTTTAACCTTGGTGATGTAGTCACTCATAGCCTCCTACTTTGACTTCCTTCCCTGTCAATTTTACTAATATTAAATAAGAATTGAATTTTGTCCAACAAGTTACATATATATATATATATATATATATATAAGATTTGTCAAGTGGGTTTTGTAAACCTTCAATAGCCTTCCAAGCATCCCAGTTGGCTCACTCCCTCATATTGAATATACCAGGTCAGCCTGCAAAATGACAAAAGAAAAAAGTGTCATAATTTTGTTTGGCAAAAAATGAAAATCACAAATAAGACGATATTAAGGAGCACATACAAGTATTCACTGGTCCAACAATTGTTAGCTAGTAAAGCCCATACAGGATCAATTTGCTCTCTTTAGTAGTATTTTCAGGTAAAGTTTTAGCTTTTGCAACATATTCTTCAAAATCTTCCTGCAAAAGATTAGATATTATCATCTAGTTCACAGATAAAGAAATATATTGACTCAAAATGTACTATGAGGCACAATAACAAATACCATCAAGACAGACTCTTAGAAGCAAACTCTTAGCTTTCCTGACCTAAAAACTTAACATCCGCATGCATCTTAACTCGAATGAAACACTAATGAAATGATACGATACTGTATTAGATTTCAGATAGTGTCAATTGTTAAGACATAAAGGAGATGAAATCCATAACTAACACATCGAATGGATGATTCAAGTTCAAGATAGAAGCTAACAGCTTATATGGTACTACATAGAGCAAGATGTGACAAAGAAGCATAAGCAGCAGCAGCTGCCTCGAGTAGCTATTTAACCATGGTGATGTAGTCACTCATAGCCTCCTCCTTTGACTTCCTTCCCTGTCAATTTTACTAATATTAAATAAGAAATGAATTTTACCCAACAATATATATATATATATAAAAGATTTGTCAAGTAGATTTTGTAAACCTTCAACAGCCTTCCAAGCATCCCAGTTGGCTCAGTCCCTCATATTGAATATACCAGGTCAGCCTGCAAAGAGACAAAAGAAAAAAGTTTCATAATTTTGTTTGGCAAAGAATGAAAATCACAAATAAGATGATATTAAGGAGCACATACAAGTATTCACTGATCCAACAGTTGCTTGCTAGTAAAGCCCATACAGGATCAATTTGCTCTCATTAGTAGTATCTTCTGCAAAAGATTAGATATCATCATCTAGTTAAGTTTTCGCAGATAAAGAAATATATTGACGTAGAATGTACTATGAGGCACAATAACCGAAGCAAACTCTTATAAACATAAATCAGAATCTAGGAAGTAGATAAAGATACAATCTTAATACTTACAGACTACTTATAATGAAGCCCATATGCTAAGTAAAACTAAAAAAAATGATTGATGGAACAATATCGATGATATAAATAAGAAGAAATGATAATTAATAACAATAACACAAAAAATAAGCCCATCTTTTCAATTCAACTATTTGGAAGAAATGGGGAGCAGAAGACCAAGACTTCTTTTATTTTTTCCTCTTCCGAGACATGTTTTTTCTTTCCCGTCCAAACATAAGTGTGCAATAGAGAATCATTTAGGAAAAGTTGTTTCTTCTCATGTGTGCACACATGCACACATAACATGAACATCAACCGAGGGAAATAGATAGCAGATTCTAGCAATTATATTTATTACTTTAGGGCCACTAATTTCAGGCGTCATGATTTTTCTTGCTCACTGTAGCAATTATTCACAAATATTTTGAAGAGTTTAAGCCTAGCTGTATCTGAAAAAATTAAGATACCAACTTTTATATATTTTTTTCATAGATATAACATAAATGAAATTATGTCTCTATTTTTCATTGGATACCAAAGTTTAAAATTGAATGATGATGGATGCTCCAACTATAATTATGATCCCAATGAAATATAAATTGATGAAAAGAATCTAAATTCGAGTTTCTCTTATGCATACAGATATGCAACTTGGAATTGGACCACTGAATGTTATCAGAGTTCTTTTAGAGTACATCAGAAATTGTATTACTTACAAGAACCAAAACTAGCTTAGGAGCGCATGAGATCTACCAACAGGTACACAAGTAGAAGAACTGATAATAGACAGTGAAGCATTATCAAATGGATTTTTGAAGCAGGTTCAAAATAAGCTCTCCATGTTAAAGGTAATGTATAGCTTTGAGGGTGACGCAAAGAGTTATACAGATCCATACAAGTTTGTTTTCCAGGCATCTAGAGTGTTGGAAGATTGTCTTTGAAGCTCACTAGATTTTTAACCATGTCTTTGATCCATCATATGTATAGATTTCCAAAACACGCATCTCTAGTGTATTGCACGATTTTATACAGACGCATGCTTCCTATGGTCTTTGTGAAATCAATCTCATTCACCAGACTGAACACTAAAACTCCATCCTTTACGATATGGCTTCTTCAAGCTTTTGCAAGGATATATAATTTACCATCTAAAAAGATCAACTCTACTTATAAGAAATTGTCAAAGCAACCCCGATCTAATTATAAAATACAAATCGCTTCCATTCACAAATACAAATCAAAGACTACTAATCACCCAAAATTAAAAACAAAAGTCCCTGATGCTTCAAATTTCACATACTACAATTTTAGCTACACATTTCAAATAGTGATAGAATTTATGAGCGAAATCTATAGTTATGGTCAATGAAATACTCAATATCATACGTATCTTGGCCCATCAAAAGTGAAGCGGATCATTTCTGATGCAGTTCTGCATCATGTAATATGATCAATGCTTCTTACCTATCCTTCTATCACCATGTTCTTGCCTTCATTATGAGGCTTAGGCCATGGATGAGTTCAAAAGGACTCAACAAACAATATCGACAAAGAAAATAAAGGGGGTGACACATAAAAATTCTTTCTACTCTCAAGAAGCAAATCACTATACAAATCGATCAGACACTAACTGTTAAATCAACCCTTCACCAAATGATCAAGGAAGCCTCTGATCTTAACAGAAAAAGGGACCTCAAGCATGCATGCTCTCCAGATCCATGAAACTACATGAATGTCAGCATATGGCTCCAAACAACAGCATGAAAGGTTCAAATCGAAGAATAACCAGCCAAAGAACTACAGATGTTCTAAGAAAAATAAGATACTTATGACTAACATACACGCACAGTCAGAGCTCTAAGATTCGGTCACCATATCCCCCAAAAAAAGGGGAAAATTTAGCAAAATAGAACACAACAACAGGAAAAGAGGATCAGAAATCATGTGGCGATGTTGTTCTCATCACCTGCAGACCCTTTGCACTCTCTATTCCTCCTCCTAATTAGTCAAAGAAGAAATTTTGCATCGGATAGTATAAATAAGCTCGATCGATGATGCAAAAAGGCATGTTGAAGACATTAAAAATAGTCACAACTTCAGTCATGGAAGCACTCTGAACAGCAATACCAAAAGAACTGATGACTAAAGTAGGGTTTGAAGTCATTCTAATAAGCAATTTAAGATCTATCAGTGTGCATGGGATTAAGAGAACTCCTCGAAAGAGAAATGATAGTCACATCTACGGTTCTACGACTAGATGATAAGCCAAAGAGCATAAGTAATGAGGTTCCAAATATGTCAAGCTCCTTCCCTTCATCTAATGATAAGCCAAGATGCCAGAAAGATATAAATTTATAAGTGTCCTTGATCTTTTGTTGAATGAGATTTCAAAAAGACCAAGCAATATAATAATCAAAAAGAAAATGTTTAGCAAAATTTGTAGTAGCTTACAAAGTAGGCAGCATTCAACTTGGCCATAAAGAAGAGGGGAAATGGTGGAAGAATTGGAGAGTTTGTTATGACAAAGTTTCTTGACCTTATGAGTAATCATATTACCTTCTAATTGGGCCAAACATTCACACTAGTTTCATTATAAGGTCTAATATACTGATAAGAAGGAGAGTCTATGGGGTTTGAGCTCTAGATACATTGATCCTTATAGCATCCAGTAGAGATATGTCAGCGCCTAATTCTCTCCATAAGAAGGGGTTGAAATAGAGTTGTGAGAGTGTGAATGTTCTATTGGTTTTGTGAAAATAGATCGAAAACTATGCAGTAGTGCATCATTTCATTCACATTAAGGAAGGTTGGTCATTTAAAAGGTATAGTGTTAATCCAAGGGTTATCCTACATGGAGGTTGAGGTGTTGGTGTCCATGACTTTCCTAAATCTCCCTGTGATTCGATGGGAAAGATAAGAAATATTTGTTCGAGATCAAAAAAATTTCGATTAGGAGATTCAATCCAGGTTTGAAGACGATCACAATTTTAATTAAAAAAAACTAATACAAAGAGACTCATGATTATTCATGAGAGGAATAGTTCTTTTAGTGAAGATCTAAAATTTAATATTAATAAGATCATGTAAGCCCTGGCTTCTAAGGGGTTTGGGAAGAGAAATAATCTCCCAATTGATTAGTTTTATTTTGTTTTATTGGATCAAAATTACAAAAAAAATTTCTAGTCATTCACATCATGTGTTTAAGAAAAAAGTCAAAGATCCAAATCTAAGAGGAGATGTGTGGGTATTGAATTGTGCACAGAGCCAATTAGAGTCATCATATCAACTTAGGAGATTATAATTTTGCACTAATCTTAGATTTTATTGAAAGCTTTGATGTTTTTATATGTTTGAAGGGAGTTTATCAATATAAAGATGGAATCTGAGATATTTGATAGGTCAGCTTCCCTCCAATATCCTAAGAAAATTGTAAACCCTTTGATTGTAGGATTATAATAATTAGGGAAGTAGACATTAGATTTATGCATGTTGATCCTCAGGTTGGTGAGAAGCTCAAAAGATTTGAGAATAGCATTGATGTTGGAGCATGATGTAGGGTTAGCTTTAAAGGCAAGGAATAAATTATCTGCAAACATTACATATGAAACCTTAATTCCTACCAAATTGAAAAGAGCAATAAGATTTTGGGTCCATAATCTATCTAAACTGTGATGAAGATGTCATACGAGAAGGGTCGCATTGTTTTATATCCCTATGAGCCTTAAACCACTTGGAGGAAGCACCATTAATAAGACAAGAATATGAAAATTTCACAACATACAGCATATTCTTGTTCCAGACAAGTGCATCACTCCACAAACATAATTAGTTATCGAACTAACAATGCCAAGTTTCATTCAGGAATTTTTAAAAAATTAAATTTTAAAATATTAATTTAAGAATAGAATAAAAATAACTAAAGACTTAAACTTCAGCATGACTTCCTGCTATAAGTAAATTTGCAAACTAAATACAACTTCCTAAAAGGAAAACATCCCATGAGAAGTTCTTTATAAGAAAAGTAAAGAAGTAATCCAATATGCTTAATGATATGATAGACTGACCTGTCTGAGGAGAAGATGCCTCACAGTAGAACCTCTGTATTCGTGGACAGGCTGACCAAAAGAAATCATGTAACCATCCTTGAACTTCATTGATTTGTCACTTTGAGCTCTGATTTTTCCACTTCCTATCACCTGAATGAACGATTTAAGGATAAAAATTTACAAAATTTGACACTTTAAGATGTTAAAAGTCAACACAGTTCCGATTTCAACAATCAATCGAACCACTATGACACCAATATATTGGATGGCACACTGGTATATACCATCTAGTACCACTAAAAGTGTAATGAAAATTAAATATATACTGATTGGTATTAATTCATATAGTTTGATGTCATATCGATACCAAACCTGTGCAGTTGTAGGAATAAGTTTTATCGAATTTTAAATGCTATATTTTGTAACTCCAGTTCATGGAGTTTGATCTAATTTATAACTCCAACACATATAATTCAGCACAAATCAATGTAATTTGTGGAAATCATGTTTTTGTTGATGTAGGATACGACCACGGGCTACACATACAATAGCACCACCTCAATATGCTACTCCACCACCTAGGTGCAATGGCTTCTATTTCTTATGCTCTTAAAGTTTTGTTCTAATAATACTTTGTTCCCAACAAAACTTCTGAATCACCCCTTCCTTCTGTTTCTGTGTTTGTCGGAGCAAAAGGAAAAAATGGAGTCTTTCTCTGTTTTTTGTGTGATTAAAGTATACAGTAGTAGAGGAATATGATATTTCACTGATGAACAAAGATTAAATGGAAAAGTGAAAATTAAACAGTATATGCAATCATGATTTGCTGCATTGTATGGCATACCATTCAAAATAACACGAAACGAGCTGTACAGGTCTGCCCACTGATTGGAAAGTGATAAGCCTGTTTCAGATGGTATGAAAGAATCAGGTGAGGTATCGACCAAGTATGGATGATATGTCGTTCAGTACCTTGAAAACTCATGTTGTATCGGTCAAAATTTGATAAATACCAATCCAAATTGGCTCAAGTGAAACCCGAATACTCAAATTAACCATTGAGGCCTCTTTTGGAACTTTAAATCCTCATGTGTCTCCCTTTTTACCCAGTATTACTCTCATTTACTCTCATCCTCATTCGCTTTCTCACACTTTTATTTGTGAAAGTTCATTATCGGTGATTAATGGTAATCAAGATATTGATTTAAATAAAGGAAGGATTCGAACTCAGGATATGATGGAATTTCAGTCTAATTTGAGATAGCATTTAGCTTTTTTCTATGTTTTATCATCATTTTGTATAAAGATTAAACGTGATTAAGGGCATTGTCTTATGTTTAGTCTCAACTAGGTTTATTCTCTTACATTTAGATCTAAATTAGGGATATTTAGGGACAAATTGATGGGACTAAAAAGATAAATTCACTTTCTCATCCTTCTAACCTGTTATTCCTATTCTTTCATGCCTCATACACACTGTATTCTTATTTAAAAATAATAAGTTATCATTAATTAGGATTAAATACTTAAAAATGATTTTTTTATAAATTCCAATCATCTTTGGCTTTTTTTTAAAGAAAATTGGGATGTACTAATATTCAGACATATGGTACGTCGACATCGACTACACCGGTCTGTTCATGGGCCAATACCACCGATAAACACGATACTGCGATCCATGATTGGATCATCCATGATTGAATACCACTAATATTCTTTTCTTGTATTGAGCTTTTATGTGGAAGAGAAACTTGGATTTGTAAAATATATTTGTAGAGTTTACTTGAAATGAAGTTGTAAAACAAACTTCAAATCACCTTCATTTTTATGTTGTTGCGGCTAAGTAAGATAAACTTATTTCTAGAGCTTCTTAGCATTCTTTGCAAGTTTACATTACTATGAATATTATCTAAACACCAATTGCTGTTATTTTTCACATGCTCAGAATAGTGGACTCCTTGATGTTTATGTTATGCTATTTGGTGTTCCTATGCCTGCAAAATATTACTAGATGACTTCAGAGATTTGGGAAAAAAAATAAATATTATTTGCAGGTTATTGGTCAAGCTATAGCTACAAAAAAATATATTTTTTCCATCACTAATCTTGCCATCACCAAAATTGATCTGACCAACAAAATTTTTTATTGCCAAAACTCTTCATCAAGAATTTGTTAAACCTTTCAGTGAAAATTATTATTCTCAATCAGAAAGTTTAATATAGCGTGGAGGTAATTAAATTCTCATACTTGTTTAACAGGAAAAAAATACAGATTCACTTAAGGAGTATACTTTGGAAGAAAAACTCAATCCTCTAAAGAAATTAAAAGTCAAAATATTTCTATCTCTTTTTTTTTTTGTTATTAGGGAGGAGTGGGAAAATACACGTCTTGAAAAGGACAATCATTTCCCAGAATAGGTTCTTAAACAAGGCAAATTAAATTGAAAGAAGATAAGATTAATCAATAGATCATTAGCATGAAAAAGATGAGATCACTAAATGAATCAGCTTCATTTATTTCATTTGTGAAATGGAGATCACTTGCTATTGTTTTGTGCTACTTTATCCTCTCACTAGATTGTTGTCCTATGCTGCTGCTATCTTATTGGTGAGTGTTGCTGTGGTCCATCCATCGTATGTTGT